GGGGAGAAGTCACCGTCGGGGCGCTTGAGGGGGCATTGGGGGGCCCCCAGCCAGCACTGAGGGTCCTCAGTTGTCACTGGGGTCCTGTCTGGCACTGGGGACCCTGGCCAGTGTTGGGCATCCCAGCTGGTGTTGGCCAACCCCAAGCTTTGTTGGAGGTCCCCACCCAGCGTTGGGGTCCCTGGTTGGTTTTGGGGGTCCCCAGCCAGCACTGGGGGTCTCCAGATAGCACTGGGGTTGTCCCCAGATGGCATGGGGGTCCCAGCTGGCACTGGGCACCCCAGCGAGTGTTGGGCATCCTGGCCAGTGTTGGGGGACCGCCTAACTTTGCTGGAGGTCCCCAGTTGGGAATTGGGGTCCCCAACTGGGTTTGGAGTTCCCTGACCAGCCATGGGGTCCTGGCTGGTATTTGGGGGGGTGTCTCCAGCCAGTTTGGGGGTCCCTGGCTGGTGAAGGTTCCGTAACACCGTCTGCTGCTCCGGGTCACCACAGGTGGATATTAGTGACCTGTGGGTGGGATGGGGGGGCCTGGCAGTGGGTCCCCCAAAAACCAGTGAGGTTGTGCAGGGGTGGGTACCTCAGGGCACCACCAAGTCTAGGCAGGGTGTCCCCCCCCCAGGCAGCCCCATGGGGACCCTTCTGGGGTGTGAGAGGGGGGTCACACATGTCCCCATATCCGGGCAGGGGGTGACAGCAGCTTCCGTGTCCTGCAGGTGACGGGCAGGTGGACTTCGAGGAGTTCGTGACGTTACTGGGGCCCAAACTGTCCACCTCGGGCATCCCGGAGAAGTTCCACGGCACGGACTTCGACACCGTCTTCTGGAAGGTAGGGGACCCCCGGCCGGGGGGCAGCACCCCCGGTCCTCCCAGCGAGAGCAGAGGGGGAACGGCTCGGGGTTGAGGTCAGGTTTGGGGTCAGGGTCGGGGTTGGGGTTGGGGTTAAGGTGAGGGTGAAGGTGAGGACCAGGATCAGGCTCCGGGTTGGGGTCAGGGTCGGGGTTAGAGCCGGTGTAAGGGTTAGGGCGAGGGCTGGGGTCAGAGCTGGGGTCACGGTTAGGTTTGGGATCAGGGCTAGGGTCAAGTTTGGGGTTGGGGTCAGGGTGAGGGTGAAGCCCAGCCTCCAGTTTAGGCTCAGTGGAAAGGTTAAGGCTTAGTGTCATGTCAGGGTCAGGGTCCCACCAGGCTGAGGCGTTCCTGTCCCCACCGTGGCACAGGGTGGCAGACGGCGTGACGGCACCCACCGGTTGCCCTTCTTGGGAGCCACCAGCCCTCCTCTGCCAAGGGGTCAGCAGGACCCCAGCCCTTTCCCCATCAAAAATGGGGGGGGGGAATCCATCACCGCAGCACCCAAGGGTGCCGGGGGACCCCACAGCATCACTGTACGCC